TTTTCTGTACCGTTGGGGCTTTGCGTAATTTTATTCCAGAGGAGTTAGGACTAGAATAAGGCTCTTTCAATTTAAGCTCATAATGCTTTTAAGTAACAGCAACTAAAAAATGCTTTAAAAGCTATCAAACTTTCCGCTTTTTAAATAAACTTCTCTAGTTTTTTTGAAGTAAAGAGTTGGTTTCAGTTCGATATTCTTAAACAAAAAATACTTAACTTTTATGCTCTAAGATAGAGCGTGCAGTTACGCACGTTCACCAAATAACTAACAAAAACGTATCGGCCATAGATAAAAATGTCTTAGTAGAGTACAAACACTAAAAGTGTGCGACACTTTGCACTATTTAGTAGTAAATAGTGCTAATTAAACAATAGAAAACAATAGGATTAGCATAATTTAGCTCTATTTAGTGGTATTTATGTTAGAGTGCAAACAATATAACCGTGAAACTTTAGTAACACTAAATAGCACAATTTTGTACTATAGTAATAAGTGTTTCACGGATTAATTGTTTGCACTCTAGTGTTTGAACTTTAAACTCGTTTACAATTTAGACTTAAAAAAACTGTAAATTGACTAAGATAAAAATTGTTTAGATGAAACCGTTTAGAGTGATTTTGTTGGCAATTGGCACTATTGAGTTTTTGCTTAAGGGACTGTGCAATAATTATCGGGAGGGGGGTTCTAAAATTCTCCAAATTGGGCTTAAATTGAAGCTAAACCCCCCTGTGCTAAACGTAACATAACTTCTCACCCCTCCGAATAAGAATCGAATCGAATAAGAATTCATCAGTTTCACGGAAGAAAAAAGAAAATAAGAAAAAAGCTGATAAACACAAATCCAAGGCAACAGAACATACTTTAGGAAGAAAAGGGCATGTGTTATATTTAATTTGGTTTTAGAAACAATAAAACCGCCCACAACACCGAAACAGCGACTCGCACTCATTAGACCGATGCCGCCAATTACGCTTCTTCATGTAATTAGGCTATTGTTATCGTGGCTGTATAAATATGACCAATCTGACTTATTCTTCACTTGACTCTGAAGATGACTTCCGCTCAGGTTGTCGAAACGTTATGCAGTCACATCAAACAGTCCTTCTCAGGACTACATCCACCGGGATGATCATAATACTTCGATTAATATATTTAATTCCTTAGGAGGACATCCTTAAGCAAAATGAATACAGCCCTGAGATATATGGCATCCCACAAATTGAGAATATTGATGAGGACACTCTACTAATATTTACGATCTCAAACTGACAAATCCTGTCTGAGAGATCTTCTTTCTTCCGAAATGTTTTGTTGGGGAAGCCAAGGAGCTTGTTCAGAACTTCTGTTTTTATCCTTGACATAGCAATAAATATCATGAACACAAAGCTAGAAGAATTATTACAAAGCAAAACAAAAAAGACATGACATAGTCAGTTGTCTTATACTGTATATAGTCAATCAATGTGGCATTGCTTTACCACAGTTTAGTATAAAAAATTGTGATTTGTACTGTTTTTAGTTACTGTTTTTTTGTACCGTTCTTACTACAAAGGATACTGAGTTAATACATTATATTTCAACACATATGGTTATGAGGTTGCACCTGTGACAAGTTGTGTCCTTTATACAGTAAATATAACAATGAATGTCATGCATCTTTTCAATTTTCTAGTGAACAAAAGCCCAAATTGGCTTATGACCCCATCTCCATACTTAAGCAATTAGCTTCTAACCCCCCCCCC